TGTGAGCTTACAGAAGAAAATATTACCAAGTTGTCTTTGTGACAGAACACTGAGTAGGTATAAAATTGCAATAGTCTCTATGCCAGGTTTTTTTTTTTTTAAACTCTCTGCTTGTAAGATGAAAGCCTAATTTGATATTTTTGTAGTTATATAACAGTTCTAATATTTTGTGACATTTTGTATTGTGACACTATAGATGAAATTGTCATCGGACTGACACCCTTTACTGTTTATTCCTTAATTACAACTGTTAACAACACTGCAGAGAAGCGTGCTAATCTGCCATCACATATTATGAAAACAACGTTATTGTTACAAACACCAACACCCACTCAACAGGATAATTCTAAGATGGCAGTTTCTGTAAAAACTTATCAGTTTAATGGACACTTCAATAGAAAAAGTTTTAAATCAACTCTTAATATTTCCGTGCAAAACATACAATTTTATATTGCAGCTGAAGTTGTGATTTTATTGTGTTGCTGATTTTTCATGCTACGTATATTTTATTTTAATAGCTCTGTAGCATGTTGATGCATAGACCAGTTAACTAGTATCCTAGCAAAATATACAATCAGTACATTTTCATATCCTTAGACACAGGGAGAGATAAATTTTTTTCTCCTACTTCCAGGTCAGGGGTAGAAGTATGTTGCTGCATAGGAGATTCAATTTTAACAATATATTGACTCAAGTTCAGGTTTTTAATAATAAAAAAATAAATATTTTCTAGGCTTCCTTTAATTAGGAAGGATTAAATTTCTGCAGACCACATCACACACCTGGATGGATCTTCCACTGAACTGATACTCTTAGAAGTTCTGTACCAGTGAATTTTTCATATCAAGTTGACCCACTGCACAATAAAAACTCAGTGATATTGCTCCTCTGTAGGAGGAAGCTGAGGAGCTGTTCAAGGGCTGAAAGTGAAAATAATATCTCCTCAACTTCTATATGTGCTTTGTTCCTGGACAGCCACTGCCAGCTACCTTTCAGTTTCCTTCTTTCCAACTTTTCATGTCTATGAAAAAGTTTACACTTGCAGATTACATCAACAGAAAGAAAAGAGCATTAAGAGCAGCCTAGAAGTAGCAAAAAGCCCTGGAGATGTTTACCCACCCATTACACAGGAAATTCAATGCAGGCAGAAGGAGGTTGGGAAAAGCAGCAGTGGATACTGGAGTGAGGTGTAGAAGTGATGAAAGTGGCAATGACAAAAATCAGAGAAAACAAGACGTGGAAATTCAAGGTTGTTCCTTCTACAACTGCTGTCATGAAAGTTCTAACACAGATTCCTGGCACTAAAGCAAGGCTACTGTCTGAAGTACACAGTAAGCCTTTCCTGCTAACCATAACTTCCTCCTTTCTCCCTCATCCACGAAGAGGCATTCAGCACAGATGACTGAAGTGAAGAAAGATAATGCAAGAATCTGTCTTTACTTATCGCACTTGTATGCAAAAGCAGAGGATTAAAAATAACCTAAAACTCTTCTCATACTGAAAAATCAATTGCCTCGGTGGAAATCTGTACACCAGAGTTTCTCACTCTTGGTTCTCAAAGCCTGTTTGAGGAGTCCTTCTCTAATACAAAATAAAAATAAGGAACTGTACACAATGCGACAATGGAAGGAAATTATCCAATACAGTTAATTTTCATATAAATTATTTACACTTCAATTTAATGGTTTGATCTTCTGTTGCCAGATCTGGATATCTCTGTTCAAGCCATAAATTACAAAACAAAATGAAACTAGGATGTTTATTTTTGTGAACCTTCTTCTGGGTAGTTTATGTTCTGCTTTGTAGCTTTCATTTTCTTAAAGCCAATAGGAACTTCTGCTCTTCCTAAAAGAAACTGTTTCCACTTGGGAAGAGATTCTTTTATTGATGCCCAATAGAGAGTCTGAGAAAGATATAAGAAAAAATAAACTTAATTTCAAAATCTGTGTCAGCCTGGTCAAAATAATATAGATATGCAATGCATTATTAAATCTTACTTTATGAGCAATTCAGAGAAGAACAATGTACTCACACACAAAATTTCAGATCTCTTGTATGATACAAAATATCAGCCTGGAAAGATTTCATGCTGCAGCATGAACTGTGCAGTGACTGAATGTGCCCTCTTGTGGTAAGCAACTGAGCAGTTTGGAACCTCACAGCACCTTCAATAAACTATTTTCCACGATAATATAATTTTCCCAGAGCAGATTTTATATTTTAGTATGTGGAATTTAATTTTGAAGTGGAAAAAAGGCCCTGTTCAATGTTAGAAATGAAAAGTGCACACTTACCAATGTAAACTGATTGTCCTGGAAAGGTCTGCAGTAATGTAGTTCAAAATATCTGATAACTCACTGACAAAATAATTCTCTCCAGTACTTGGACCACAATTATACAAGCAAAACCACTGTATGCTTAGACTGTGGTCTAGGAAAACCACTGTGGATCATCTAACCCTTCCTCCTCCATTACACTGTGCCTCTGAGTCATAAATTTAACTTATATTTTATGTATTGGTATTGGATTTTTGTACTGGTATCGTAAGAATAACTTCGTTGATTTTCAGGAAAATTTTAAGGGCCATGTATCATCTTTTTCCACAAAACAATGTGATAAAAGAACTGCATTAAGCCAACACTTTAATCCATCCATCAATCTAAGCATTTTTAGCCACTGATGTCCATTCAGAAAAAAGTAATTCTGTAGTAGAGAACAGTTATGGTACATATGTAGTGAAGGTTTTTGATTTACTTGAGTATCTAATGCAGAAGTGTAGCACAAAACTGAACATCTCCCTGCAGAGTATTAGATTCCTGGCTAATCATTTTGATCCTCACATGTAACTCAGATATAACTATGGCTCTTGCAGATTTACAAAAATATTTTCTTCAACAGATTTACTCAAAGAATCTTTTCTGACAAGCATATGTGCTGTCACACAAAACTACTCCGACTTAGCAAGCTGGGGATCCATTATAGCCATAACTTTCAAAGTATATTAATACAGACACATATATGGCTGAGTGAAATATGCTCAGAAGTGTTTTGGAACAAAGCATGCACAAGAATTTTGTACCATGAAAGAAAGTTTTCTTTTTCTGCTATTTATAGAACTCTTCTCTAGAAGTAGAAAAAACAAAAAAAGCTGAAATAAGAATCTTCTCCTTCAAATAGTAACTCTGTTCTCTCTAAAATGTAACCACTGCTGCAGAGTGCACACATCCTGCAGCCATGAGCTATCCCTCTGCATTCTCCAAGTGGTGCAGACTCAGGTCTAAATGTCACGAGCAGCTAACACCTAACATGGGATACAGGGAGATGGAGCCCAAAACTGACCCAAACAACTCCAGAAGTGCCTCAAAAGTCCTTGATGAGTCTAAAAACTACTTCTGAATGCAGTGAAAATCAGTTCAATATTAGTAGCTTGGCATCTTTCTTAGCATCAGTCAAGATGCTCAGGTATCCAGGGGAAAAAAAAAAAGTACCGTTTTGCCTAAAAATAAGAATAGTAAAAAAGCCAGTGAGGGAGTATACTCAGTGTGCCCCTGTCACAGCCACAGCAGGCTATTTACAAAATGCAATGACAGATAAAAAACTTCCAACAGTAACCAGAACATGAAGTGATGCCTCCCATTTAAGTAATAGCCTAAGCATGACAACACTTGCCCAGCAGGTGTGAAGCTGAGGTACAATATAACTCTTTTCACAGCTGACAGCGCTAAAACCTGTGCCTTTCCCCTCTCTGACAGTGCCCCGGCACACAAACCAGCGTGGGACACTCTGTGCCTGTGGGAACTGAGCCACCACACAACACTGAGCCCACAAACCACTGGGGCAACAAACACAAGTGGGAATCTGCTCCGAATTTTTATCTTTAAGTAATGTTTTAGGGGCTACAGGTCGAGAAGTAAAACTCGAGTGTTCCTGCTGCAGCGATACGATTCATTAGCTCCCATACAAACATAAAATAACTGAGAAGTGAAATTTTCTCTGTTCAGGCTGATAAACTGTTGACCCTGAAATGTAAAGATGACAATGTATGGCAAACTGAGAACGGGATGACCATATAAAACAAACTAAATAGCTCTGATGTAATAAACAGTAATCTTCTGATACTCACAATGTTAATATTTTACATTTGACTTCATTTTTAAATAGAAGTTTGTATAGATCTGAAAGCTGCTAAATATTTCCATCAGAATGCTCCAGAATCTAGGGACCTTGCCCCAGAATTTAGGTTCAGCTTGCTACACAGTACACAGGCCTTTGGCTATACCAGTCACTGGATTTTAAAATCAATTATTTTCACTTTAAGAACATGCTGCAGGGGGGAAAAAAAAGCAAAATATTTGGTAAACAGCAAATGAAAAGACAGAGTTCTAGGACTTACTTCTAACTTAACAGTATCGGGATGTGGAAGTAAATATTCTCTTTCTTGCAGCTTTTTTTCTGCTGCTTCTAGATCCTAAAACACAGGCAAAGTAGATTTTTAAAACAAGCACTGGGAATTTTAAAAGAAAAATGCATACGCACATGAAGACATTTAAACTAACTAAACAAACACATTACAGCTAAACAGCATTCAAATAATGACACAAGTTCAAATCTTTGTTCAGACATTCACAAATCAAACTTGCACTAGTTAGACTAGCATCCCACAGTTGCTAAATATGTTTGCTGTACCTTTTGGACATAAGAGTATATTTCAGGACCACATAAAGCTGTTGCTGCAAACACTGTTATTCTCTCTGGACACCAGGGGAAATTAGTTAAATTCTAGTCTATACAACTTCAGGAAATAGAGGGGAACAGAACGTCTTCTCCTGTGCTGCATGAAGACTGAAGTATGTATTCTAGCTACTGCACTGCAAAGTAACCAGGCAAATTATGTGCAAGATCTTTACTTCTCAAGACAAAGATGACTTGCTAATATGCATGCATAACATGTGCACAAAAATGTAGAGCTGCAGCAAGCTGTTCACCAGACAAACTTGGATGACAATGCACCTCACATAGCTTTCTCAAAAAAAAAAAAAAAAAATTAGAATTGGTATTTGGGTTTCTGCTTGTCCAGCGGATGTGTGCTGGATTCAAAAAGGCCTAAATACATATTTTAAAACAGAAACAACCAAAAAAAAATAAACAGCAACAAACAAATCAAAGCATGCCCCCAAAGTAACCGCCCTCCCCCTTCAAAGTTCTGACCCGTTCTTGTGGGCTTAGTTCCATACCCAAACATTGAAGAGATTGAGTGGTGGGCAGATGAAGAGAGACAGAAAGGGACGTGGGAGTGGGGTGTGAAGAAGCCAAAGCTGAACAGAGTGGAGGGGGAAAGAAAGTATAGCAGATGGCAGAGTTGGGAGCAGAGAGCGGGTGTGAAGAGTACAACAGAAAAACTAAATGAGAGAGGAAATTCCCCAAAGGGACTTCCCAAATATTCACCACCACTGCTGCGGAAAAGAAGAGTGAGATTCTGGAGGAGCATATCCACAAGAGAGACCAAACATGATTACTCTGTTGAATAATAGCCAGTCTGAGCACATCAGTAAGTAAACAGTGCTCAACTCAAGTTTAGATTGGAAAATATGACTCAAATTCAGTAGAGGATGATTAATAAAAGCAGAAAAAGAACCTTACTGTTAGATTAAGTTCAACTTAATGACACGGACAGTCAGTTCATTCAATTTACAGTGTTCATCTTATTTGATTACATGAATTTCTTTTACAGTATGACTGTATTCTCTTGCACATAGTTACAAACCTAATCCAAGCAAGACTGTTCTCCCTTTCCTACAGCAAAATCCATACTGTTGTAGAAAGCTAAAGAACGTCTGAGAAAAAGCAAACTAAGTCTCAGATTTACCCAAATCCTCCGAAGTAGGAAGTGTCTGCCCCTTTTCAGGTGAGAAAAGACTAACAGGGAATAGAGGGGAAACATGAGCAATGACAGAAGCCAACTGAAATCATGATGTCAAAATAACAAGAGGCCAACACAGATTTAAGTAATTTAAGGAAGGAATTTCTCTGTTGAACATACTCAGAACAGATACACCACAAACAGCACTAAATGAAGCTCCTATCAGTATGGCTCAGGCAAAGTCTGGAGAAGTTATCACCATACTGAGAAAAGGATCACTCAATAATGTTCACTTCATATTCTTCCATAGGATTTTCCTCCTTTCTGATTCCTTCCTCCTAATTCCTGTAGGAATTTTAACAGGTAGGAAGAATATCAATCCTTATTTCTTCATACACTCAGCCAAGTCACTGGAATGTTTGTGGTGACAGGAAATGAGTGTCTTTCAGGCACGAAAGGAGAGAGCAGTTGTGCATATATGTTTAGCAGAGAAGGTCACTTTGGCATAGCCTAGATATTGGACATGTCTTTTCGTTGCTCACTCCAGTTTGTCTGTTGTGCAGTCTATTGTCATTCAGAATACTGATTTAATGACAGACAGTGAAAGAAATTTTTGCTGGAAGGTGTAGTATGCTTTAGAAAATAACTGGAACTAGTCAAAGATTAGATGGCACTTCTTGTGTGTCTACACAACTGGTAAGCTCTGTATGAAAAATAAATCCCTGTCATCAATATAAAAATACATACATCAGCAGTATAAACTTCTTTGGGGAAAAAAAAGCAGCAAATCTAAGATGTCACAGTACTGAAAAAAAAAGAGAGCATCTTACAGTGCTTCCCCTAAAACCACAAGGACTGGAACAAAAACAATTCAAGACCCTTCCCCAGAGGTGAAATGGAACGCGTGACACACGCATTGCTTTTAGGGGACCAAATTCAGCTGTCACTTATCTTGATATCAGTCTGGCAGCATCCCACTGAAATAATTCTGGAATTACATGCCTGGGAAGGAAAGCAAATTTGTTCTAAATTACCTTCCCAATACTAATTACTATATAGCATATTCTTTCTTTTCTATTTCATGTTACAAGCTGTTGCACAGTAATACATATTTCTAAACACAAGAAATATCACTGAGAAACAAATGTCATAAATTAGATTACAAATACTAGTCTAATTTCTGCTTTTATTACGACAACATTATATAAGCACCAAATGATACAGATTTCCCTAATCTGCAGTCTCCATCTAAAGACATCAAGGAAAATACTCTGATAATTATGTTCAAATGATGAACAAGTGCTTATAATGTTAAAATATCAATTAAAAATGTTTGGTTCCTTGCTTTCTACTGATTAGAATATAAATTCATTTTGAAATCTTTCCTGTGCATAAATATCAACCAGCACAGACACAGAAAAATGCCTTTTGCTAACGATCTATTACTGAAAACAACTGATTTTGCTTACACGCAGAAAACCAGAAATGCAAATAAAGAAATAACACTTCGTCATGTCCATGTATTTTTGAGTAGGCCAAATCAACAACTCTCCACATGGTAACTGTGAAATGTACAGTGCCTGGTATCAGGAACAATATTCTGAAGCTGGCACATTAATCAGTCTCGTTTTCAAGCTTCTCATATATTATGCTGCATAGATTTTTTTTTCCTGTTTTCTTCTGTTATCAAAAAGCATCTGCAGGAGTGCATGCTTGTTAAAACTACTATCAAATTAATAGATTTAAACTGATTTATGCTACTTTATCCTGCAACAGAATTTGTTTTGATACATATGTTTTTGCTTTTTTTTCTGTACAAACAGCAACATTTCTGACACTTGAAAGGAACAATTTTGAGGATGTGACAGAAGATGGTAAATATCTGTTTAACTGCAGAAATATTTACACTCTGTATATGTCTGAGCTATTGTTAACATTTCCGACACAATAAGAGAAATATACTCTGCACTTCTTGTGTTTGCTGCATATGTAAACTGAAAGTGAATTTATAAAATATAAATAAGTTATAAATCCCTGTATTTATGAAGCAAAAATCTAATCTAAAATGCATGTGGAAAATGGGAATTGTAATGGCTGAAGTTACTAAATTGATGGAGCAGGAGCTATGGGAAAAATAACCAAACCCTCCACTTCTCCCCACTGAAGCTCCTACACTTATCCATACCCAATACAGGGGGCTGACTGCCCCAGCCCAGAATGCACCAGTTTACCACTCCAAGTTGGACAATGTTCCTTGTCACAGAATAGTCAAGAAGGCTTCCCTGACTAACTCTTCTGCCTTGTCTGCCCCTCCCTAAACACAACTTCCATTTAAATACAAACAGGGCCAGCAATGGAATTATACCCACCCAAAATCTGAACATTTTAAATCTGAACCAAGCTCTGCACAAAGAAACAAAAAATATTCAGTGACCTAAATTAGTCTTGTAATTGTCTAGAGTAAAACTTATTTCCCAATAAACACAATACATGAAATATGGACCCTTAATAAGTAGGAATTTAAAGAAAATGCACAGGAGATTCAGTTTTTCTGCTGTTTCCTGAACAACCAACAGACATGCTTCAAATGCATCATGTCAGTGGTCAAGTGCATCTCTTCAAACTCAGATGCCTAAGCTAAGGGTTCCAGAAGAGGTTTTTTAGCATTCCATACCCTGCCATCAAACCTAGATCTTTTTAACTGCCCATTCCCCAATGTCTGCTGAATTTACCAAGGAACTAAATGTGACAACAGGTCTGTAGAACAGCTATGAACACTGTTAATGGTGTCACCACTGGGAAGAGCCAGAAACACCAAACACTGCTTTGCAGACTTGCAACTAAGGTTCCTGAAGTCACTCTACACCTCTTTGAAGAAAAACATCAAACTGAAAACCTCTTCCATGACTTCACACAACCACAGTGGGAGAGCAGGTCCTACCCTGGACCAAAAGCTCTGTAGCCTGGTCAGCCCATTTCCAAACATACCCCTGTGCCTTGCATCAAAGGTAGAGGGGCTGAGTCCTGTCAGACTCCTGAGTTCTCTCAGCAGACATGTAATAACATGTGTTACATCTCTACACATACTTTAAATAAAAATTAAATATATAGTAGCAGCTGCCACCACGAGGCTCTTACAAGAAGGGCACAGGAAATAGGTAGTGATGCCATCAGATAATAAAGACTTGTCATTTAATAGTTTTTGGTCGAGTTCCAGAACAGGGAACTGTAAAGAGGAGAATTCAAATGACAACTATAGAGCAAACACTTTTTATTTAATTATCTAGGCTACATAGCCATGACATTTCAATGAGGTTCCTGGTGGTTGCAGAAACTTACATTTAAAAGTGCTGCATTCCTTTTATGAGCTGCATCAGCTGCTTGAGTTTGCCATGTCTTTTTAGTCTTTTTGTCTCCTAGATAAGTCTCCATCTGCTGTAGCAGCTCTGATCTCTGAGACAGTCTACAAAGGAAAACATTTTGCTAAGTGGGTAGAACATTTTGCTCAGGAGCTAGAAAATAACCTTTTTACCTTACCCAGTTTTCTCAAAACTATGGGGCTAATTAAGCAGGCTGCAGGGTGGGTGTGCTGGGGGAGGGAAAAGGTACAGGCAGGCATCACCTGCTGTGCTGGTATGAAGCTATAATGCTGCAACCAGCAGTCCTCATATGCCAAGGTGCTTAGAAACACTGAATCTCCCAGAACAGGAACGACAGGGTGGGTTGGGGTGACTTGATCAGTACTACATTTGCTCATTGGCACGTACAAGAAAAGCAGATTTTTCTGAATCATTACTGTGTTTGCTTCACAATCTGAGTTTATAGGGCAACAAAGAAGCAATTCTGTAATTGAGGCGTTGAGTGAGAGAATCCAATTACCTTCCCCAAACAGGAATTCAACGCTGACAGGAGGTTAACAATGGAGATCTTAAACCAGTACCACCATCGCAAGTCGAAAACCTCATCAACCTAAATACCCTCAGCGGCAGGCAGGGATGCTAATTCCAATAGTTCCTGAAGGAAGAGTGCCACCTCCTGGAACTCCAGCCCCTTGCTGAAACACCACCGTGCTGCGCCGAGCTCGGATTCACTGGCACGGAGGGCCACGGGCAGGGAGGGAGGTCTCGCTGGACCACAACACAAAGTGCTGCCAGGCAGGGCACAACTACTTACATCTCTGCATGTCTTCGAGCAAGGTGAAGCTCCTGAGCCAGATAGGATGACATCTTCAGTTGCTTGCCTTGGTTTTGTCACTCTGCAAAAGGAAAACGAAGTGAAATGAAAATCTTCTTAAGATACACACTGACATACACTTTTCAGTATTAAACAATTCTGGTTCAAAAGTTGCACACATTGTATTTGTATGTCAGCTATCTGCACAAATCCTGCCAGAAGACATTGCTGCATTATCAATACAATTCACACTACTAATGTTTGCAATATGTTTCAGGAAAATCCTACTGTATTCTAATAATTCATGAGAGAATTAAAATTTTACTTTCAAGTGTCAGACACAGCATTAAGTTTTCTCAAGTTTGAGATGCTCAGAGCCACACACAAACTCTGTGATACATAAATGGTGTATTACTGTTACATTAGTGATTTCTGGTTACACTAAACACGAAGTTATACCCCTAAACATAATTTGTAACTACTCCTCAAAGATACAGTGCATTGGTCACAGGATATTATTACGTTTAAGTCCAGGCATGATGAAACTAAATAACTTAAGCTACTGAACTAAATAAACTAAACTTAAGCTACTAAAACTAAACTTAAGGTACTGATGTTTAATGTCTGAGTGCCTGAAAACTTAAGTGAAAACTTCTTGGGCTCAGTTTTTCAGCACTAACTCAGTACACCAAGGAGTCACAGCTTAAATTGTTTACATCTTACCTGTTGTTTTTTTTCTGAGCTATTAAGGAGAGAAACTGCCACTGATGCAAATAAAGATCCTACAGCACTTTTCAGGAGGCTGAAAGTGTTTTACAGTCTATTTTCTTTCACCTTGGAGGTTATTGTGTTGTCACGTTAAGTAAAATTAAATAACTTAAAATGTTCATAATGTTAAAGGGCGCAAGAGCTGAAAGACATCAGGATAAAAAGAATATTAGGAAAGGTCTCCTTGCTGTCAAGAGTCACACGTGACTCTGGAGCCAGGTATAGACTCATACATCCCAACTTCAGAAAAATCACAGAATCAATCAGGCTGGAAAAGACCTCTGAGATTATCCAACCTATGACCTAACACCACCAGGACAACCAGCTCATGGCACTAAGTGCCACGTCTAGTCTCTCCTCAAACACCTCCAGGGACGGTGACTCCACCACCTCCCTGGGCACTCCAGTCCAGTGTCCGATCACCCTCTCGGTGAAGAAATTCTCCCTAACACCCAACCTAAACCTCCCTTGGCGCAGCTTGAGGTTTCCTCCCGAGGTTACACCTTTCACCACACTGCGAACACTCCACCTCCTAACGCTTCCCTTTCACCCAGCACAGCGCACATCCCCTCGCTGCTCCTTCCCTCGGCCGGGGCACTTCACGCAGGAGAAACCTCATCAGCAACACCTTTACCGGCGACAGCAGATTTCGGGCAGACACAGCGCACGCACCTCTCGTCTTTGGGGGCGCCTATAGCTTACACCGGCAGCGATAAACCATCGCATCCTCCGCTCCACTCGCTG